GTTGTAACCTAAACTTCAATTCTAATGGATAACTATTAAAATTATACAAAGGATCTACGCATGTAGTTAAATGCGTTGGAAGACTACATATCTTACCAAATACTAATTCAAAAGGCGTGTACTGAGTTTCAGTATGAACAGTTGTATTATAACTGAAACACCAATAAGGTATCCAAGAACTCCAGTTTGTTGCCTGATTATTACACATGATTCTTAAATATGCACCTAAAACTTTATGTGAATTTTCCAAAGCGCCTATACTCTCATGATGATATGCTGTTGAATGAATTTTATCAATTTTTAGCAAACTGCAAACTTCATTCATTGTACTTGAAATAAATTCAGTTCCTTGATCAGTGGCTATTATTTTAGGAACTCCATATCTTAAAATAAAATTTTCGACAAATGCCTTAGCGATAGTTATAGTTTTTTTTGTTTTCTAAGGGATAAGCTTCTACATATTTTGTTAGTTCACATTGTAAGGTTAAAATATATGAAAAATTACTTACGTCTCTTTCGATTGGACCTACAATATCTAGATATATTTTTTCAAATGCAGTGCTTGCTGTTGTAGTTACTACCATAGGTTCCTTTATACTGTTACTATATTTCTGTCTTTGGCAACTATCACAATGTTTAACAAAATTATTAATATCCTCTGTCATGCCTTTCCAAAAGTAATATTTTTTAATATTATTTGTCATGCGCTTCACACCCGCATCTCCGCTAGTTGGAAGTAAATGAAAGTCATTTAAAATAACTTTTTTCATATCATCGTCTGTGATTCTTTTAGGATTATTTACAACACATAGTCTTGGAAAATCTTTATTATTATTTAATCCTACGGCTTTCTTATATTCATTAATCATACTAGCTAGCTTTTTGACTTCATGCATATTACTTTTATTTTTAATAACGATTAATTCTTGCACATTTATTTCCTTGCATAGAATTTCTAAATCTTTCAACAATTCGTCTCGCGCTATCATTGATAAAGAATTTAGATTCATATACAAAGCTGACAAGGAAGGGTTGTACAGAAAATTTTTATTTTTGGACATTGTATGTTCCAATTTAAGCTTTTTGTTTATTTCTGATTCGTTAGTTATTACAAGTTCTACACTGTCTGCTGGCTTTTTAAGAATCTCTACAATACTCGGATGGCCAGTCCTTATATTATCTAAATTCTTTTCCGCCTTGTTTGATTGTAGTTCATTTTGCATCGACTTCTGTTTTGCTCTAGTCATAACATTAAGTATTTTTTCATTCATGCTTTTTAACTCATCTGATGTAATATTGTTAATAAAAACACGTGACAACGCATCAGCACCTACATTATCACATCCTTTTGCATACTCTACTGTAAAATCATATTCCTCTAAACACAAGCTAAATTTTGTGAGTGTACTTGATGGATTCGTCATATTGAATAAATAAATTAATGGTCGGTGAGCTGTTAAAATTTTGAAATGTTTACCATATAAGTAAGGTTGGAAATGTTTTACTGCCCATACAATGGCGACTAATCCTTTTTCAATAGAATATCGTACTTCAGCTTTATTTAAACTTCTGCTTGCATAAGCAACTGGTTTTCTATTTTTATTCGATAACACTGCTCCTACTGCAAACCCACTTGCATCCGTTTGAACAATAAATTCATTATTTTCAGAAAAATTTGGATATTGAAGCACAGGTGGTTGTATTAACGATTCTTTCAAAGTTCGAAATGATTCTTCACATTCTTTTGTCCAGCTAAAGTTAACATTTTTCCTACTTAAAATATTTAACGGTATGGCAATTTCAGCAAAGTTTGGTATATATTTCCTATAGTAATTTGCAAAAGCTACGAATCTTTTGACTTCATCGGAATTTTTCGGAACGGGATACTCTTTTAGCACTTGAATTTTGTTTGGATCGGGTAAAATACCTTCAGAAGTTATGATGTGTCCCAAATATAATATTTCTTTCTTGAAAAATTCGCATTTGTTAGGATTGAGCTTTAAATTTACTCTTCGGAGCCTCTCAAAAACTTTAATTAAATTAGAATTGTGATCGTTCAAATTTCTTCCAAAAACTATTAATAAATCGTCTAAATATACGAAACAACTTTCACAGTTTAAGCCTGACATTGCAACTATCATTATACGTGAAAACGAACTAGGACTTGTTTTTAAACCCATTGGAAGCCTCTTCATCTGAAATTGTCCTTGACTCGTTGTAAATGCTGTGAAGGGTCTACTATCTTTATCTAGTTTTACTTGATAATATCCTTGACTAAGATCTAAATGAGAAAAATATACTGCACCTGAAAGTGAGTCAAAAATATCTGTTATGTTGGGAAGTGGAAATTTATCATCCTGAATTTTCTGATTTAAAAGACGATAGTTAACCACTAATCTGCATTTCTTTTGATTACCTTTTTAGGTACTAGGAGAATAGGTGATGACCATTCGCTTTTCGTAGGTTCAATAATATTATTATCACACATTTGACGTATCTGCGTGTCAACTTCGGTTTTTTGCGCATGTGGTATTCTATAACGCTTAACGTAAACTGGTTTTGTATTTTCTTTCAAAGTTATTGATTGTTCATAAATATTTGTTGTTGACAATTTATCATTTGGTAAATGGAAAATATCTGCATATTTAGCACAAATGTTCATGATAGAATCTCGCTCTTCTTTGTTTAATTTAGCAGCATTGATAGTATCTAAAACTTCTTTAACTCTATCGACTGAATTTTGTGTTAAATCAAATTTGCAATACTTATAATCGCTGAATTTGTGAGTTTCAGGAATCCATGTTTTTAATCGAATTTCCTCTTCGTTAGTATTTAAAGTTTTTACCGGTATTTTTGAGTTTCGAGGTCTCGCAACAACTCCTGCTAAAAACACATTTTTACCTAATTGTTTCGGTAATACTACACAATCTTCATTAGTTGTTATTGGTAAATACTGAATTGTTTCGCAACGTGGTGGAATTACTAAAATATTGTGATTCTGGTCTGATTCCAAACGTACTGTTACTGTACTGTGGCAATTTGACAATGTCATTGTATTTTCCGCGTAATTAATATTTCCTTTGTGTTTTTTAATAAAATTTCTACCAAGAATTCCATCATTTACACAATTCAAATTTTTAAAAACGTAAAATTTTTGTTGAAAAATGTTTCCCTTTATATCTACAGTTAAATATGCAAATCCTTCTGAAAAAATGTTACCTCCTATTTCTCTAATTTTTATTCTATCTTGTTGAAATATAGTGCCATGAGGTAAACAATGTAACTTTATCGCTGACAAACTAGCTCCAGTATCCACTAAGAACCTTAATTTGTTTTCTTTGATATTAACTTTTATGCAATCTACTCCTGAATATGCATTGATTTGATTAATTTGCTTGGGCACGAAAAAACTGTTCCCGCATATTTTCTCCTACAGTATGATTCACCTGATTACGGAAATTTGAATGTCGACTGTTTGTAGTGCGTTTGTTTAAATTTTGATTATTTATATTTCGCCTATTTGGAATTTGATTGTATGTATTACGACCTCTATATTGATTGTTTTTGAAATGATTACCGCGATTGTTGTTAAAATATCGAGCATTGTTATAATATCCAAAATTTTGTGTTCGGTTTGGATTATTGACGTTAAAGTTACTGTTTGGAATATTATTATGGAACCCCCTGAAATTCCTTTCAAATTGACCACGACTCCTATCCTGATAAAATTTTGATCCTCTGCCACGAGTAGACATGGATAAGACCTGTGAATCATTTTCATGCCTTCGAGTAGCATTTTCATCAATGGCAGATCTAATACAGTCTTTTAAATTGGTAAAATTTCGAGCTGTTATTATCGTACTAAGTTTGGAATCTCGTAACACATCTGAAAATTGTTTGATGGCAATTCTTTCGTTCACGGGCTTTAGTACCTTAAAATTATCATCATCTCCATTAGCTTGGGATATTGTTAAATTTACAAAGAGATCTTCAATTTCCTTACCGAAATCGTCTATTGATTTACTACCTTGAATTGTGCGCATTAATTTTGTTTGTAGGGCCGTATCGGATTTCTTAGTTAGAAGATGTATTTTCATGTCTGTAACTATAGAGCTTGTACTGAGTTATAAGTACGATTCAGCCTAATTTTTGCGCTTGGAGACAAACGAGTTTTTAAAACAAAATTGATTAAACTTGTTTTATTATTTGTATCCAACATGGTATCGTATAATTCAATGGCATCTAAAAGTTGCAAAGTGACACCTTCTTTACCATTCATTATTGGCAACAGATTGCAAGCTACTTTGAGATCGAAAGCCATTTTGAGAAAATCGGTGCTTTTTTCTTTCACAAAACTTAAAATTTCGTGGTATACCTTATTAACGGCAGCTACGGATGTTTTAAACTGCTCAACTTCTTCCTCAGTATACAAATTCAAATTTTTATCAAAGTGCGTTGTAACTGTTTGTAATTGTAAATATACTATTTTGGCTTCCTCTACTTTTCTAACCAAACATTCACCCTTATTGCGCCGGTCACTCCCTATTTTAACTAAATATGTCCTAATACTTTTCAATTCGTCATAGATTTCCTTCCAATCAAACTTGAAACAAATAGCTTCTTCTCTCTTACACCGCTTGGTTGCCTACTCACTTACTGCTTACTTACTAACTTCTTACTCCCTGCTTCATCCATTTCTTATTAGTCTTATTGCATACATTATTGCTTACATCTACATTAATCCCTACTCTAATCATTCACTCTCTCTTTCACACAATACTTATTGATTACTCCACTACAGCTCTTTACTAAAAATTTTCTGCCGTCTTGAGTGTGCCCTCTTCTTCATTCCTTTCAAAATTTCTGCCGTATAGAGTTAACTTTTTGAATCCCATTCTAACCATTTTTCCTTTACTCTTGATTACTTAATTTTGACCACAAAAAATAAATAATAACCAAACGCACCTGACTTTGCTTCATTGTTGTTTCAGTTTAACAATATGTCAGCTACGGGAACTACAATTACCATATGTCGTTCAACAAGGAGAAATCTAAGATACATTTTATTGTGGCCAAGCGTCAGTGAGGAACCTAAATCAACCAGCGCTTTCAACATCAGAATCGTGGTGTATGTTTTAATAACGGCAGCTTTCTCCGTATGTGTGGCAATGCATCTTATTGTCACAACGACAAGTATAAGTAAGAAAACACACCGAAACTTTTTATAATAAAAAATATTTTTAGAAAATGTCGACGTGTCGGTTGTAGACGACTTTAGCGGTGTAACATCGTTAGTTTGTGTATATTATGTAGCTTTTACATTTACGAAAAATCAACCGAAAGTAGCAAGGCTTCTCATGGAAATGTCAAATTTCGAAAAATTTGGAAAACCACCAAATTTCGACCAGGAGGATGAAACTTTAAATTTTGTTTCCACGTTATTTTTCGCATATTTGTGTTTTAGCGTGTTTATATATCAGCTAATAAAATTCAGACGAAAAGAAGAGTGCGAAGAAAAAAATCGAAACGACGATTTGAATGAAAATTGTGGTTTCGTCACACCAATTTGGACGCCCTTCAGTACAAAAAATCATGTTGTTTATTATTTACTTCAAGCATACGTTGTTGTGTGTGTTCAGTTACTACTGAAACCTAGCGCACTGGTGACGTTTACTGGATTTGAGTTAACAACACATTTGATTTTAAGAATCAAACAACTTAACCAAATGATTCACAAAATTTTCGTCAATACGAATTACGAAATTGCACGAAGAAGATTAAATAATTGCCTTGTTTACCATGCAGACCTAATCAGGTATTCTCTTTAACATAGAATATCCAATAATAAAAATCTTCTTTCAGGATGGCCAAAGCACTCGATGAATGCTTCTCAAGTTCAATGTTTATGTTCACTTGCATTACCGCAATAGTTATTGCGTGCATTGAAAAACAATTTATCGAAGTAATAATTAAAGCTGAACTTTCCACTGTGCTGTTTTATATATGTTTTTTTTTCTTCTAGGGTGATCATTTTTGCGCTGTAGTACAGTTTTGTGGTTGGACTATTATTTTAGTATTGGCCTGCTGGTCTGGACAAATTCTAATGGACGCGGTAAGTTCCAAAAAAATGGGGATTTTTTTTATTTATTTAATAATGTTTCTAGAGCGAATCAATTTCTGTGTCAATCTGGTTTTCAAAATGGTATGAGGCGGATACTAGACTGCAGAAAGACATCTTATTGATGTTAAAAAAAAGTCAAGAACAGTTCGCTCTCACGGCTGGACCCTTCAGTTCCCTTTCGTTTCAGCTACTTGTTTCGGTAAAGGAGAACAAACAGTTTTATCAAAAAATAATTAAAATTTTGTAGGCGCTTAAAATGTCTTACTCCCTGCTTTGCTTACTGAATTATTGATGTATAAATTGTGATGTGTTTATAACAATTCTATGATTGTACAAAAAACAAGTGACAAATCGGATAAGGACTTTAGTTTCGCAGATTCACAATTAAATTGCAAATTGTTATTATGCGATTTTGATTTTTTTTTCCAAAAATCTGGCTACCTGATCCTGTCTCCCGCAACGTTCTATTCTATGGTGCTATAAGTAATATTATTGGCAGTAATGCAGTTCCAAAACGGTGTTATACTTATTTTTAAGGCGATTTTAAAAAAAAATACATTTTTGAAAATAATTCTACGTAGATCTTGGGTCTCTTTTCTTGTAATGTGTTTGCTCTTAAAATCTGTTACTAGCATTTTCTAACACCCTGTATAGACTTGTGTAATTAAACGATCATAAATCATGCAGAGATAGACCCAAATGGGTACCATATTGCTTGCATTTTTTTATCCATTTTACTTTAAAAAAATGTTGAAACAGCTTAATTTTATTAATTGAAAAAGTGAGGTTAGGTTGCACCACGTTAGCTGTCATTGATTAAATGCTAGATTTATTGCAGATGGGCTTCATAATGTTACAAAAAAACCAACGCCAACTTGATGACTTTTTTCACGAGCTGAAAATATTCCATAGCACACAGGATGATTAATAGTTTCATAAATTTTGCATTGTTAGAAGCAACATCAACTTGTTTTGGTATTTTTCAGTATTTATTTGTCCCACAGGTTCGTCCTCGGTTCAGATTAATCTTTTAGGATCAGACGGGGGATATTTGGTTTAGGGAGATTAACATTAACGTTTATTTGAAATTCATTAAACTCTACACTGGCAATAACGATTGTTGTAAAATTTGTGAAAAAAATCTTTAAATTGCTTTAGAGTGAGTCTTCTTGAATATATAATTTTTGAAGTAGAACTTAGAAAAAAGGTAAATCGTTGTCAAAGTATTCATCAAGTAGAATATTAGAAAGCCCTTAGAATATGAACATTCGTAGTTTATAAGATGAATGAAAAAAACAATAAAAACGAAGAAATGCTGAACCTGTAAAACAGAACAGTTAGAAACTAAAAAAAATCGAATAAAAACTTACAAGTTGTAACTGGGTCAAATGTTTCTTCCACCACATAGTTTTAGTCCGATCCAACAAATTAATCAAATAATACAAATACATTATAACATGAACAAATGTGTTCACAAGAAAAACAAACATCGCTACACCACCAGGTATGGTCTTCAACGTAACCCACGTGGTCGAAGCAATACCAATATGATGATGTAAGTGTAACAAAGAAATTTGGCTGTGTTTTTTACGCAAAATAAAAAACACCTGAAAATTAAAATGAAACAAAGAAAAACAAACCAACTAAACTTACTGTATCGAAAAAGTCAATAAATTTCAAAAGCACGTAATAATAGTGTACTTTTCGAATCGCTACATCAGTTGCAGTATGTGAAATGTTTGCAGGACTACAGTAAGCACTAAAGTTGGGCATCAGCCGAGCAGCCTGAAACTAAGGTTAGATGTCGATGTTAAAGTTTTGAAAACTTACCATTATAAACAGTATGAGATTAAAAAATACTTGTACTACGTTATAAATAATCATAAGTGTCTTCAAATTAAATGGTTCTCGGCTTTTCATAATTTGTGGTCCCCATTTGAAAATAAATAGCACGTATGCTAAGAGAACTGTGATGACGTTTACAGGTGAATCCAAAAACAGGTGGTTATCTATATCACTATCTGTAAACACATGAAATGTAAAACTATGATATTTGGTAAAGAAACTTACCTGTGGTACCCAATGAGTAACTGTCAAAAAACGAAACAAATGTGGTGAAAAACATGGCGTACAATGTTTGGTTTTCCGTCTAATCTGAAAACTATCGAGATACATTCCACAATATATGAAAGGACGGAACTAAATAAATTAGAATTACAAGATTAATAGGACAATTATTAAGCAAAGATGAAGAATATTTTTTTTTATTAAGTAGAAACACGGGATTTGATGTGAAATTTTTCGTACCATATTTTTTAGACCACATCTTTCTAATGACAGATGTGCTAACGAAATTATACGTTTAACCTAAATTTTTATTTCGTGGGGATTCCCCAGGGATCGAATTGAAACCGCATGATATTCCTGCTCTTTATTAATGACGTCATAGATGTTGTAAACTTCTAATTATAAATTGTTGTTTACCAATGATGTCGAAAATATTTATCAATATAATTACAGTGGACGCCGCTTAATGTGATCACTTTGGGACTCAGACAAATTGATCACACTAACCGACTGATAATAATAAGCGAACCCCACCATCAAAGACAGTAAAACTCGAAACAAAACAAAATCATGAACAAGACAGTGATTATTACGCTGATAGATGAAGGTACATAAACATTAGAATTTATTTTAAATTTTGGTTACCATTCTGAGAAAGGAACCCTCGATTTCCTTTGGTTGTCGTAGAAATTTGGTAAGTAAGGGCTGAGAATTTTTTTTTCTCTGATAAACTAAGATTTCGTCGTTTCGACGTGCTAATTTTTACATAAGTACTACTCAAATTTAAAACAGAAAAAATTCATTCGTTCAAAAGTCGAAAACGCACTGATTACTTAAGTCTGTTTTTGACCACTGATTGTGGTTGTACAAAGTGAGTGGTATAAGCGAATGTACCTTTTGAGACCAATGAATGTTCATTAAAACACAATACTAGTTTCAGTCGGCTCGCTTCTCCAAAAAAGCAATTCCCGTTTGTATAAGAATTGCGAGATTGATCACAATAAGCGAAATATTGATCACAATAAACGGAAAAACTGTAATGCATAGGTATTGCGTGGGTCCGTTCCAAGCCATTTTGATCACACTAAGCGGTTGATAACATTAACCGTGATCATATTAAGCGGCGTCTACTGTACTATGGAAGATGTTTAGCACTTCAAAAGGACTTCGAAGCTATTGCACCATGGTGTTAAGGTAAACATATTTCATTTATAGCCAAAAATAAAGCAGCAAGGAAACGAAATTATGGAGATAAGAAAAAACGTATTCTTTAAAAGTGGAGGAAACAAAAGGTACTTTGGGACTGGATTTATAGTGAATGTGAATGAAAGGATGAAGAGGAACGTGATCGACTCAAATCAATATCGGACAGAATATGTTACATAAGAATCCGAGGAAAATATAAATATAAGCATTATAAATGGACATGCTCCTACGGAAAAGAAAAGCATAGAAATAAAAAATGAATTCTATAAAACGATTGCAGATATAATAAGACAAATTTCAAAATATGACATAGAAATAGTTATTGGAGATACAAATGCAAAAGTAGAAAGATTTTTCCTTTTAGACTTTTTCCTCCGGGATACCACCGGAGGAAAAAGTCTACACAAAGAAAGCAACGAAAATGGAAAAATGCTTATAGAGTCTGCTGAAGAAAATAAAATGAAAACGATAAGCACTCATTTTGACCAAAAAATATACCTAAAGAAACATGGACCTCCCCGAACAACAAGACAAAGAGCCAAATAGACCATATTCTAATAGAGAGACCATACGATGATTCACGATTGCAGGAGCTACAGGTGAGCCGATGCTAACAGCGACCACACACTAGTTATAGCAAAAATAAAAGAAAAACTACCAACTAATAGAAAACTAAAAAAAAAGGAAGAAAAAGAGTCAATGCTGAGACTCTAAAGGACAAAAAAATAAAACAACAAATTGAAATAGAATTAAATAAAAGACTAGAAAATAAATACAAGGCACGAGACAACAGAAGATGAATGTAGCCAAATTGAAGCAGAAATGGTAGAAACAACAGAAAAATGCATGGACAATACCGAACGAAGTAGTAGAAAGGAAAATTGGTATGAAGAAGAATGTAAGAAATCCTTGATAAGTAGAAACATTGCAAAAATAGGAAAATATCAAAAACCAACAAAGGAAGCAATAAAAGATTATGAAGATAAAAGAACAATAGCCAATCAGATATGCAACATTTGAAAAAAAAATGGGTACTATAGAAAATCACTACCAAAACAAAGAGATACAAAACTTCCACCTAGAAGTCGGGAAGACAAGACAGCCACGAGCACGAGAATGGTATATTGCAGAAGTAAAGAAGGACAACTGATTGAAGACACAGTAGAAAAACTAGACAGATATAGCGGAATATTTTGAAGACCTACTACATGACAAGACGGAGGAAGAACAACAGCCAAAAGTAGTGAAAAAAAGGAGACAAGAAAACAATGACATACAACAAAAAATAGAAGAACCAACAAGATAGGAAGTGAGTAGAATGATACAAGAAATAAAAAGTCATAAAAGCCCCGGAGAAAATAGAATACCTGCAGAACTATTGAAAATAGGAGCCTAACAACTTATCAAGAGAATATATCACAGGAATAGCCCTACTTGATTTAGTTTATAAAATCTTAGCAAAAATCATAAGAACTAGATTGAGAGAATACACCACGCAAACAACAGGACAATATCAAGAAAGGTTTAGAGCAGGAAGATCAACCACAGATCAGATTTTTACTCTAAAAACGATCCAAAATAGCAAGCCTACGATTCCATAGACCGAAACATGTTATACCAAGCAATGGAAAAGCTAGCAATACCAAGAAAATTTATAAGATTAGTTAAAATGACACTACAAAATACGAGTAACAAACTTATTTTGGAAGGTAACATGTCAAGAGAATTCTTGGTTAGAAAAGGGTTACGGCAAGGAGATCCACTATCAAGCGACCTGTTTAATGTTGTACTAGAGGACATAATAAGGGAAAGCACAATACAAACAAATGGATTAATATATCACCATCAGAAGCAATGCATTGCAAATGCAGACAATGTCGCCTTGCTTACGAGATTAAGAAAGGAGCTGGAAAGGACACTTAAGCAATTTGAAAGAAAGGCGAGGAAGTACGGTCTACTGGTCAATGAGCAGAAGACGAAATACATGGAAATGAATACAGATGACGTAAAAGAAGACAGATATATTAAATTAAAAACAGATAGAAAAGAATGCAAGATAGAAAAAGTAAACTAATTTATATACCTAGACGCCACAATAACAAGTAAAGCCAAAGATGCAAAGGGAATAAAAAAAGAATGCTAAAAGGCAGCAGAGCAATGGGTTCTCTAACATCAATAATGCAGGAAAAAAATATATCGCGAAAATCAAAAATACGAATGTACGAAGCAATCATAAGCTCAGTGGTAACGTACGCAAGTGAAACATGGACACTGAATAAACAAGACGAAATAAAATTAGAAACATGGGAAAGAAAAATACTGAGAAAAAGTTTCGAAGGCGTCAAAAGTACAGAAGGAGAATGGAGAAAAAGGACAAACCAGGAAGTCATGAACCTGTATAGAAGACCGAGGATCACACAAGAAATTCGAGCGCAAAATCAAATGGTTAGGACACATAACTAGAATGTCAGGACAAAGAATAGCAAAAAGAGTATTAGAAGAAGGAAGGGGTGAGAAGGAAGAAGAGGACGCAGAAGAAAGAAATGGCTAGAGGAGGTGCAGAAAGATCTGAAAGCAAATGAAAAATTGGAAAAGTGTAGTCACAGACCGGAAGAGATGGAAACAAATAACTGCCACCATAGAAGTTAAGGGCTTAGAGGGCCTCTAGCGCTAATATACATATTTATATATAGCCAAAAGTGTTATACTGTCATACTTTAACAAACATGATATTTTAAGGTACCCTTGTTCCGTTAAGTAGTATTCATAGTGCAAATAATCTCGGAATGAATTTTAACGATAAATTTAATTTTAATAATTTGATTTTAGATGTAATAAACAAAAACTGAAACAATTTAATTTAATATATAGAAACACTATCGAGTTTCTTTCGTACATGTACTAAATGCTACAAATTTCGCTTTGATCAGATCAAAATTTGAACAGGTATGCTGTATCCACTTAACTATAAGTTTTACCCTTTTTAGTAAGCTGTCCTGAATTTGAAATTTATACTTCATATTTCACGTTGAGAGAAAAAAAAAAAGATAACTCAGCGAAACCGCTGTTGAATAATTAAAAAGAAAAAAATACTTTCAGTAACATCGGTAATCACCCATGTTTTAGCGTTTAATGAATTAGATAAGGCCTCCTTTTTAGGATGGTAGTTTAGGGGTTAGCCACTTAATTAACAATTTTCTAATCCGAAATGTGTAAATCTTCGACCATTTTTATCACGCTTTTATTAGCTTGGGTTGTATGTATCTATGTATGTATGTAACGGAATCTTTGAGCTTAATTTTCATCGGTTTCTAAAAGTCTGATCATCTTAAAACTTTGCACACGTCTCAAGGATCGATGACAATGCAATAATTTGATAACAGTTTCCCATTATCCTTATTAGGACCGCCAGGATTTATAAATTCTTTTATGGATCCTGTGTAGTGGAGTAAAAGAGATAAAGCTAGCGCGCGATCTGCGCATGCCTGTAGTATCTGGTTTACTCTTCGTTGTAATTATAGTCTTGATTAAAATACAAATAACGGATATTAAATGAAAAAAACAAGAACGGACTTTTAATTAACTAAACGTGTGCAAAAATGGCTGATCGCATCTTAATTGTGTCAGTTACCACGGTTATCTCTCTCGTTGTCGATTATACCGATCTATACCGATTATTTCTGTTTCAAGGACAATTTCTGCATAGCTTTGGTTTTACAATCGGTAAAGAAGGAATTAATTATAATTAAAACATATCTAATCATGAATTCTCACCAACTTAAATAAAGATAACAAATTTTGATTCAGAAATACAAACATGGAGGAAAATTAACTATTGGGGGGGTAAAACTAACCACAATGATGAATTGTGTCCCG